TGATCTTTATTTCAAGATCCTCCCGCCATTAACACTTTTAAACGAAATCTGTTTTTCATGTTAACCAAGAGGGGCCATTTATCTTTTTTTCGTATATTTTGAAGACAAATAATTTTATTAAGAACGACCGTTGATTTATTAAAACGCTGTAGAAACGCTTGCATTTTTCTTCAATTCCCTTCAGAAACGGCCTGAAACGAACTGGAGAAACAATGTCACGCATCATCGGTACGAGAAAAATCCTGTGACACTTTTGTGACACAACACGTTGTAGTACATCGCAGTCGCCCTTAATTACCATTGGCTCGCATCATCGTGTGTCGCAGGTACACCTGTACTTCAGCGCGCTACCGGAAGACAAGATCCCGTACGCGGGCAGCGCCGGCGAGCGGGAGCGAGTGAAGCAGCTGCTGCAGCAACTTCCACCGCACGACAACGAGGCACGATACTGCAGCGGCCTCACCGAGGAGGAGAAACGGGAGCTGAGGGTGTTCGCCGCGCAGCGGAAACGCGAGGCGCTCGGACGGGGACACGCGAGCCAGCTGGACAGGCCCCACGGCGCCGGATGCCGCGAGTGCAGCAGGCCGATCGCGGCCGGCGAGATGGCGGTGGCTGCGAGCCGCGCCGGTCCATCCGCCCTCTGGCATCCGGCCTGCTTCGTCTGCTGCGTGTGCAGGCAGTTGCTCGTCGACCTGATATACTTCTGGAGGGACGGCAGGCTCTACTGCGGCCGGCATCACGCGGAAACGCTCAAGCCGAGGTGCTGCGCCTGCGACGAGATCATACTCGCCGACGAGTGCACCGAAGCGGAGGGGAGGGCGTGGCATATGAGGCACTTCGCATGCCTCGAATGCGATCGCCAGGTAAAGATCTTGCAGGATGATCTGATCCACGCTTACTTTCAACCATCGCTGATCTCTCATCTCTCGTCTTTAATGATGGAAGAAGAGACTCGATTGTCGTTTTCTTGTTTGATGTAGCTTGACTGCCATTGCTGAGGAAACGATCGAGAGAATTGTGCGTTAAGAGTCAGTCATTCTGTGGTCAAGATTCCGGATAAATTCGTTGGAATTTTTTTTTTTTTTTTTTTTTTTT